CTGCAGTCCGGTTCTCTGAAGGCACTGGGGTTGCTGATGCTGCCCCCAGGGAGCTGCCCATTCTCCGGAGCGCACTCCCTCTCTCGCTTCCTGGCAGTCCATACCCTTGGGTGAATCTCGCCCTGACAGATCCATGGCTGGGCTCCCCACATCGACCCTGAGTGCCCAGGAGGCGCACACACCCCAAATGTGGGGCTCACATGAGCAGGGCTCCAGGCAGTGCTAAGGAGGGAGGGGCTCAGAAGGCGGCGTGAGGTTGGGTCAGGGCGGCTGAGAACAGCCTGGAGGGGGGAGGTGTGAGCAGGAACGAGGTGGGTGGTACCCAGCAGTGGGGTCTGCAGAGGGAGGGCTGCCACGGACTTGGGGGTGAAGCCACGGGGCTGGGACTTTCCATCTGCCCACCTGCATGAAGATACAGAGACCTTCCAGGGACAGGGCCTGCCTGTCGTCCAGGGGTGCCTTTCCCTGACCAGTGCCCTCGCTACAACCCCACTTCGGGGTTTAGGGCTCAGCTGCTCCACAGGCCTGTTCCTCCCCCTCCTTCTCCCTGGCCCCCTGCCCGTCAAGGCGGCCCCCTCCCCCCAGCTCCCGGTCCTCACTGCTCTCCTGTTCATCTGTGCTCTGGGGGCTGGGTCCAGGGCTGAGGCAGGGGGCGCAGTGGCTCTGTGGGCCTTGAGGTCTGTCCCTGTGGGAGGTGCTGGGGGAGGCAGCCAGCGGGGGCCTTGGACAGCAGGACCCCTCTGTCATCCTGTGCTGGGTGACACCCCACCGGACCAGGAGGAGCTGGGCCTCAGGCAGCCAGAGATGCTGTACTGACCTGGGCTGGTGCCTACATCACTCATTTATGAACGTTTCTGGTGCCGCCTGTGGCTGTCCCTGTGAAGCACCGGAACACAATTCCAGGCTATTGTCGACCAGGCAGGATCCGGGACAAACAGTGGGAAGTTGCCACTAAACTTGTTTTATGGGCCAAAGCTTTACTGTAAGCAGACGTGGGTCTCCCCACGTGGTCTCCCCGAGTCCCACAGGGTCCAGCCTGGGACAGGAGGCACCCACGCCTGCTGGCCCTGGTGCCTTCCTGGCACCAGAAGACAGGATTGCTCTGGAACCCAAACCCCAGAGGCCTCCGCTCTGCCTTGTGCCTGGTGCAGGTCTGGGCTGTGTCTGTTCCTCAGAGATGACAAGTGCTGGCCTTGCTCCTGCCCTCGGGCCTCCCTGGTGCTGAGGGCCGGCCTCAGGGCTGCCTGGGGGGCCATGGTTGGGGACACAGTGAGCAAGCAGACACAGGTGGGGTGGTGAGCGCTCTGCGGGCACAGGGTGGCCAGGAGGGGAGTGGGTGCAGAAGTGTCCCAGATGGAGGGAACAGCAGGGTCCTGCAGGGCAGGGTGCTGGCCGGGCTGCGATGCCAGCTGAGGACAGAGCCCCTCCCCGGCTCCTTCCAGCTCAGGTGGCTGCTTGGACCGTTGAGAAGCTGTCCTTTACCTCACGAGGTTGAGCCAGGGCCCAGGGCCCCGGGAGGACTCGGGCACAGATGTCTGCCCACACGGGCTGCTGCCCGCCCTGGCTGGGTGGCAGGTACCCGGCTGGGTCCTCCCAGACCAGTGGGCAGCACACGTCATGCTCAGCCAGGTTCCCTTCGAGGCTGAGGAGTCTAAGGTCAGAGGCCAGAGCCAGCACCCTCTTGCCCACTTTGACATGGACCTTCCTGGCCCAGGGCGGGGGGAGGGGAGTCTTAAGACATCCTCAGGGGCCACGGAAACCCTGGGTCAAGGTCCCTGTGAGGGGATTGAAGTTCAGGAGAACCCCATCCTCTCTTCTGCCTCGAGGGTCCCGAAGTCCTTTACTGAGACTCTGCCGGACTCTCAGCTCAGTTTTCTCACCTGTAAAGTGGGCGCGTTCGCCCCTCACTGCATTGCTCTGAGAAGGAAAAGCGGCAAGGACATGAGGACTCCTCGAGGACAGGTGGTGAGCAGGTCAGGGCCCTGGTGTGTCTTCGAGGTGGCCATCTGGTGACCTCCCCTCTGCGTGCAGGTGTCCTGTTGACACAGGTGGGCTGGCCTGTGCTGCCTTTGAGGAGCCCGGGCAGGACCGACCACCAGCTCTGCAGAGGGCAGGCCAGGGCCAGGCGACGACTCTCTTCCAGAGTTTTCTGGGTCATCAGATGGGACTTGCCACATGTGATTTATCGTTACAGCCTTCTCCCGGGGACAGGGGGCTGGTTGTCGGGGGGGATGCTCTGGGGGCTGGGCCTCTCCTAGGTGACGGGGAGGCAGGCTGAGAGGGAAAGGTTGGGCGGGTTCGGGTCCAGCCGTGCCCAGGACTTGCTCACCTTCCACAGGCTCCTGCAGACGGTCCGGGGCCCCCACTTCCCAGGCTCTGACGGCATTAAGGCCTGGGGAGGGGGGTCAGAGCAGGTGGCCCTCCAGGTCTGTGCGGGGAGCCCTCGTTGTGTCACGGGTCACAGTAGCGGTGACTCACGACTCCGCAGCGACTCTATTTTTACCCTCCCCGGGCCATCTTCCCTCTTGCTTTCCTCGTTGGGGGCAACTTTTTGTCTGTGTTGAGAAAAGCCTGGCTTGTGAGGGGACCGCTCTCTGCCGCACCTCCCTGGGCCTCGTCTGTCCCGGGCGCTGGGCTGAACCTCAAGGGGGTGCAGGGCCGAGCTGGGCACAGAGAGGAAGGGCAAGTCATCGCTCTGTTTTTTGGGAAGAAGTGCTCAGACATTACCCACATTCCCCCTGGGTTCTGTGCTAACTGCGACGCAGCGCTGAGTTCCTGGGCCGACCTGGACCCAGGGGGCCCATCGACACCCTGTTTGGACCCCTGCCCTCTCCCTCCAGCCACCTTTACCCTGAGCCTGAGGTTGTGGGACCCCTGACACAGCCCATGTGGAGCGCCATGTGACAGGGCCGTCCCCGGCACAGCCTCCAGGAATGGGCCGCGTTAGTCTCCCTGGGACCGAGTCCCTGGGAGCCTGGACCCCACTCTGGAAAGAGCTCCCCGGCTCTCCTGGGGGCTGGCTCTTGAGATGGGGTGACACACTCCAGAACATCGTTAGATGTCCCCTTGAGGGCTATGTCTGGGCTTTGGACTGAGCGCTCAGGCAAGTCGTGAGGAGGTGGCTCCAGGATCGGGGGGCTCCGCTCAGTGACCCAGAACCAGGCAGCAGCCCTCAGAAGGACGTGTTCTGGGTCTGGGGCCGGCAGGGTGTCAGCCCTGGGGAAAGAGAATTAAAACTCGTCACTCGGCTGCATCCATATGACCTATTTTCATAGCGATGCTGCGCTTCCAACTCCGCGAAATAAAGGCCCTCCCGGAAGAGTAAACGCTCCTGAACGGTGGGTTTACGAGTTTCTCTGCCCCAGGAGGAGCTGTGCTGTGCCCACAAGGCTGTGCAGCAGCGGGTCCGTGGAGGCTGAGCGCCGGCTGTGCCATCTCCCTGCGGGCAGGACACGCGGACACACAGACAGGCTTCCTGCTGCTCCGGCTCCTGGCAGGGACCCAGGAGTGTGTGGGTGTGGGGGAGACTGTTGGGTTGAATTACCGCTTCCTTTCACCTACCCTGCAATTTGGAGGTGCACCTCCAGCACCGCACAGCAGAAGCCGCACGTAGGAGTTCGGCAGCCCAATCACGTCAACCGCAGCCCAGGGACTCTGTCTCACACCCTCATCTCCTTGCCCAAATGTCAGCTTCACAAATGACTCCCTGAGACCTTGTAAGAAGTAGCAACCCCCTCCCAGCACCGGGCACGAGAGCCGTGTGCCGGCTTGGCGTCTGCGCCCACACGCGCGTGTCCCCTCCCAGGGTCGGTGACAGGCCTCGCCTGTGGTCCCTGCAGCCGCCCACCTTGGCTCACTCGCTCGCTGGGGCCCAGCCCCCCAAACAGACCTGTGGCCAGAGCCCTCTGTCAAACAGCCACGGTCAGCCCCAATGGCCAGGAGGAGCGGCCCCTTCCCGGACAGGTTTGGGTGCTGGAGGACCGCAGGGTTCGGGGAGCTCCTGGTGCCCCTGCAGGACCACAGGGTCCAGTGAGGCCCTGGGCCCTGTCCGGAACGATGGAGGGTCAGAGGGCGAGAGGACAGAGGCCCCCAGGACACGGGGGTGGGGAGGGAAGGGTTTGCTTGTGGGGCTTGGGGCTTGGACCCCGAGGCTCCGCATCCATGGGGTCTAAGGGTGTGGGGGGCAGAGACCTGGGTGGGAAGAGACCCGCAGGGTGCAGACCTGGGGGCACAGCCAGGCTGGCCGGGGCCCTGGGTGGAGCCGGCTCCCTGTCTGGGGGGCTGAGAGGTGCTGAAGGGGAGAAGCCTGTGCGGTTGAGGAACCCCGTCTCCTGTGTAAGGAGAAGGTGCCTGGTTCTGAACAGAATTGGGAGCCCTGAGAGCACGTGTCAACCCCTGTCCACGCCACAGGGTGAAAAGCAGTGATATCTACGGACCCCTTTCTCCAGGAGGGGCCCGCTGCCCAGAAAGGCGGCAGAAATAAGAACTGTGGCTTCTCACGGGCCTTGTGGACCGCCCCTCGGACAGGTGGTGTCCCAGTGATTAATCCTGGGGCGGGGCCAGGCTCCCCTTCAGCGCATCCAGCGACCCCTCAGGGCAAGCACGCCCCCAGGAGACTCGGCAGGAGGGTTGGGCGTCCTGCCTCAGAGGCTCTGGGCTGCCCTGAGAGTCCCAGGACCTCCTATTTGTGGGTCTTTTTTGGTTGGGAGCAGCCTTCATGGGGGCCACTGGGCACAGAGGTTCATGCCATTCTGTCTGTAGGTGGGGCAGCCCAGCCTTGCCCCACAATGCGCCCTGGAAGAGCGGGCTCCACGGCCCCCCTGGGGCCCACCCCTCTGCCTTGGTTGGAGCCCTCCCCACATTGCACAGGAGCCTGAGGTCGGCCTCTAACCAGCGCCACGACGACCCCCACGACTGACCTGCTGGGGCACCCAGCGGCTTGTGGTGGCACCGGGTCTTCTTGCCACCTCACCTGGCTCCCTCTGTTTTTCCTAGTGACCTTCGACCACTTCCAGATCCTGCGGGCCATCGGGAAGGGCAGCTTCGGCAAGGTAAGGCGGGGCCTGCAGAGGCCAGGTTTAGGACGTGGAGGTTGTTGGAAAGTCTTGCTACAAATAACACGGTGATGAACACCTTCGGAAGAAAGCCTCCTCGTTTCCCAGGATGCTCTCCTAGGCCAGGGGAGGTGGGTTTCACCAAAGGGGTGGATCCAGCAGGTTTGGCAGGAGACACTGATGTCCGTTGAGACATCCGGTCAGTTCCAGATCACCTGCCTTTGGGTGAGGCACCTGGGACCTCCAGTTCCAGAATCTTCCACTTCCCTTGGCTCCTGTTCCTTGAAGACCTGGAGACCGAAGGCTGTGGGGACCCTTAGAAATGGCTCTGGGTTCTCTCTCCTTGCGAGGTCTCCCCATGACTCGAATGGGGGGCACAGCGCTGGCTGTGCAGCCCGTGACCTTGTGCATTAATCCTACTTCCATGGGAGACCTTTGTCTCTGATCTGATTGAATTTCCTTGGCCACGAGGGAGCCCAGCCCTGGTTTCTCACAGTCCTCACCTCACCCTGATCCTCTCTACCAACCAACCGTGTGAGCAGCGCCAGGGTGCTGATTGGCATGGCAGGCCAGCGCTCAGGGGACCCAAGAGCTGGGTGGGGCCTGCCACCCTGGGGGGGTGGGTGTTTGAGAACAGCTGTGGTGCACAGGGGCTTCCTGGGTGCAGGGCTCTGGCCAAGGTGTCCTCTCGTTCATTCCCCAACAACTTTCCAAGCCTGTTGCTGCTCTGAGCCCTGGGAAGGGGACGCTGGGGTTGAGGAGGGTGGCACCCCCTGCCCAGGTCATGGCTGGTGTGGGGTGCGGGCACCCGCACAGGCCTGTAGGCCCCCTCCCTGCCGTGCTCTGGCCTGGGACCTGCCTGCTCTCGGAAGGCGCCTGTGCACAGCAGACGGGTCCCTCCAGAGACTTACATGCAGTCACTTCAAAGTGGAGCCTGCAGGGCCCGGGATGGGAATCGGGGCAGCGTGCTGAGGCGCCCTGTGCCTCCAGGTGTGCATCGTGCAGAAGCGAGACACGGAGAAGATGTACGCCATGAAGTACATGAGCAAGCAGCAGTGCATCGAGCGGGACGAGGTCCGTAACGTGTTCCGGGAGCTGGAGATCCTGCAGGAGATCGAGCACGTCTTCCTGGTGAACCTCTGGTGAGCCCGCCCCGCACCTCGGAGGAGACACGCTGCTCCCCGCTCTCCTGACCTGGGACACCGGGCACCCCAGCCCCTCCTCCCTCTCCCCAGCCACTCACAGCCCCCTGCCCAGGTGTCCACCGTACCTGCATTCCTGAGGGCTCCCCCGCCTGCAGAGGCCTGGGCTTTCCCACAGAGGAGGCCTGTGACCCGCAGAGTTTCTGGCGAAATGCCAGTGGGGGGGAGTTTGGGGGCCTGAGTTTCCTCCATAAAATGGGCCCCACGACCAGCCCTAGGAGGTGGGGACCTGCAGCCACAGCAGGTCACCCTCCTTCCTCCCTGGAAGCGCTCCTGAATCCCCCAATCACCTTCTCTTGGCGGGGGGTGGGGGGTGGGGGGGTAGGTGCCTTCTAATTCACTCACAGGTGGGGTGTGGTCCCCCAGGGCCCTGGGCATCGGGGTGCTCACAGGGCTGAAGAGGTGGGGCGCTGCTCCTGTGGAATGTGGGGTGTGCTGTGCTCAGCACGGCCAGCGGTGAACCTCGGGGGGCGGTGAAGGATTAGAAAAGACAGACAAGAGAATAAAGCTGGGGCGGACGCTGCTCTCTGATGGAGAGACAGTGCCACAGCCTGCAAGCTGAGTCTTTATTTTATAGCAGATTCCAGGAGGCAAAGTCAGGGCGTGGTCAAGATGTTTACAATGTTCTCGCGGGTTTTGAATCTACTCAATTACAAGCACCTGAACCCTATCAAGCTTTGTTTTGGCAGCACTTGCTGCACCTCCCACAGCCTGTATCACTCAACCACCTGGGACCACAGTTTGGACCATAAGGTCAAGCTTACAAACATAGACTTTGGCTATAATTGTGCTGGGAGGGCTTTGCCCTCCAAGCTAGGACTTGCACGTGCCTTTGCCATGAGAGGACCGCGCCCTCTCATTAGTCCAAGGCTTGAACCTGTCCAAACGCTGTAGCCGCTCTCCACAGTAGGGGTTGGGGGGTGACCCCCAGCCATGCATGTGCCAGGGCCTCCCCTGTTGCCCACAGGTACTCCTTCCAGGACGAGGAGGACATGTTCATGGTGGTGGACCTGCTGCTGGGCGGGGACCTGCGCTACCACCTGCAGCAGAACGTCCAGTTCTCCGAGGACACCGTGAGGCTGTACATCTGCGAGATGGCGCTGGCCCTCGACTACCTGCGAAGTCAGCACATCATCCACAGGTGTGCGCACACCTGCCAGGACTGGGCAGGACTGGCCGCAGGGACACTCCACCGGCGGGGTGCCACCCTCGGCAGAACCTGACAGCTCCTTCGTGCTCGGCCCCAAACTTGCCCGCAGACCTGCCCCCAGGTGTGGCTCCAAGCCAGCCCCCCAGCGGCATATCTGATGTCCACCTGGGGGCAGATCCTACCCCAGCAGCCCCAGCTGGGCCAGGCACACAGAGCCCTTGGATCTCGGGGACCCCGGAGTCTGGCCACGTTGGGGCACCCTTCACCTGGTGTGTTTAACTGCAGGATCTCATTTGTCCATCTGCCATATCCCTGGGGAATTCAAACGAATGTTAACACTCGCTTAAAGCAGATGCAATTAGGGAGGTAAAGCTGCACTCACAGGACAAGAAAGGAAAAGCTCACTGTGTGGTTTATTATAAAGTCAGATCGCTGTGATTCTGCATTTCTGCCTGGGGACCCTGTTATCTGGTCACCTTTGGGCCTGCGAAGGCCCCACTCCACAGTGTGTGCAGCTCGGGGCTCTGGGAGAGGGTGAGCCTGGGCAGTCGGGGCCCCCGGGGCCTGCTTGTCCACTAGGGACTTTGTCCACTGCTGGGCTTCTCTCTGCTGTCTGTCTGGTCCAGAAGGTGGGCCTGGAAGCCGCCCCCCAGGAACCACGACGGCTGGTCTGCCCAGCTCCATCTGAATGTCACCAGGTGGGGAGGGGACCGTAGGCCCTCAGTCTTCCCAGGGCCCATCCCAGGCCTCTTGGGCCTCTGCTGGCTGGAGGTCCCCCGGGGGAGCCCCAAGCGCTGCCGGGGTTACCGGGCAGGAGCAGGAAGGGTGTCTCCCCGCTTTCTGCTCTTTCTGCAGAGATGTCCC